CACTTGGTTCAGGTAAATACGATTTAAAAAAATATAATTTTCGTTTAATGAATTTTTGAATATTTTTAGAAAATGTTGTAAAATGTCAACAATTTGTTGAGAAACATTGTCTTGCTTATTGTTTAATGGCATTAAGTTCACGTTGTGGTTTACTACGAGCTGTTGTTTACAATTGTCTTGCTCGTTTTGAACAACATTTAGTAACACAAAAATTCTATTGTAAAGAACAAATCTTAACAATGTTAACATTATTAAAACAAAGTATTAAAAAATCGAACTTAAAACTAGCACCCATTGTTGCTTTGTTTCTATCAAAATTAGTTGATCTATTTACTCATCCCGGTAATAAATTACATTTTTCAAGCATTTTCTTATTGTATATTTAGAATCGAAAATGTATCGAACAATAACAAGATTTCTTCTTAAACAACCATATATTGATCTTGTTCATATTCCACTTTTTGGTGAACTTTTTCATAGTTCATCAACTGAAGTTCGTAATTAAAATTTTATCATTCTCATTATTATTATTTCATCTTTTTCTAGTATAAATATGAACGTGGATGGATATTAAATTTATTAAAACATGGTATAAAAGATTCAATTGATTATACATTATGTACGAAAGCATATGTATTTAAAACATTAATGACATTTTATAATTGTTCATTATGTGATGATTCAACTAAAGTTTGTTATTTTAAAATTTTTTTTTAAATTTTAAATTTTCTGTTTTTTTCAAGATTGAAATTCTTAATGTCTTTCATTCAACAAGTAAACTTCAGGATGTATTAATGTCACTTTTATTTGATTATGGATTTCTTCTTTGGCTACAAATATTGATAAAAAACTGGTAAGAATTTGTAAATTAATAATTAAATATATTTTGTGTTTTATTAGTTCGAGTGAAAGTTTAAAGATATTATCATTGATTATTAAAAATCTTGGTTTACGTTTACAATCAATTGATAATCAAGTACAATTATTAGAATTTGATTGTCTTCTTATGTTATTTATTCGTCGATTAAAAAATGAAACGTAAAGATTTTCTTTGGTATTAAATAAATTCTATTTATTTGTGTAATATAGGACGATTGCATCATCAATTGCTGATAACGTGATGTCTACTATAGTAAAATATCAGGAACGTCTTAAATTATCTGTTGGTATTCAACAGATAAAACATATTGCTGATTATTCAACAATAGTGAAGAAAACATCTTTGTTATCTTGTTTTTGTTAACAAAAAAATAATAAAAAATGTTTGCACTTTCACAGTGCATAGGTCTAATTGTGAGATATTTCATTTTGATTTAGAAAATTGAAAGCAATAATTTTTATCTTACAACTAATATTTTTATTGTAAATGAAAATGATTATTTCTGTTATTAATATCACACCATTAACAAAACAAAAAGATATGTAAAAACTAGTTAATTGAAACGAAAGACTTGTGCAAAAAAAGAAAATTAAACGTTCAGCATTACTTCCAACATCGATCGTCAGATTCAAAGTCAATAGTTGTTTGTCGCGTTGAGAGGGGAACTGAAAACGATTTGGCATTCGAATCGGAAGGTGTATAATGTAATTCAAACGAACCATTATCTTCAATTTTTTCTTTGTTAGTACCTTGTTCTTCTAGAATTTGTTTTACTAAATCACCAACAGCACGTGATGCAGCTACTTCCCAGCTTTCGCCATGTGCTAAATAAAATAATATTATTCTTCATTTTATAACAAACATTCATTTACCTGTTAAATCAAGTCCTTCAAGTTCATCTTCTTTAGCTAAACGAATACCTATGATCCAATCTAATGGATAAAGAATACCAGCAGTACATAAAGCAGCAAAACCTAACAACAGTAATGTTATTATTATTAAGTTTCTTCTTAGGTACTATTTACAAACCAATTGCAGTTAGAATACCAACAGTTTGATACCATAATTGAATAGGTCGCCCATAGAATGCACCATCGAAAGCAGCCGATGGATTAACTGCTTTTTCAGAGAATAAACCAGTCAAAAATGCTCCTAATATACCTCCTAAAGCAAATGAATACAATACAAAAAAAATGACTAATCATTTAAATATACCTCCACCATGAACAAAAGCTACATCTAATGTATCATCGACTCGCATATAATGTTTAAGCAACAAAAGGAAATAAACCATGCATGCTGCGATAACTCCAAATAAAAGTGCCCATCCTGGTTGTATAAATCCACATGCTGGTGTCACAGCAACTAAACCAACAATTGGTCCAACGCATGCACCTGATATTGATACTCGACCACGAATAGCATCAATAACTACCCATGTAATAAGACCAGCTGCAGCTGCTGCATTCGTGTTTACTAAAGCAAGAGCAGCTATACCACTAAATAAAAGTAAACACACATAATTTAATATGAATATCTCGGAAGACTATCATACTTAGCTGAATTAGCAGAACCACCATTAAAACCAGACCATCCAACCCATAAAAGACCAGTACCCAAAATTGTAAATGGAAGATTATGTGCTGTAGTACTTCGTGGATCGAAATCGGCTCGTTTCCCAAGAATAATTGAAGCCACAAGACCCGAAACACCTGATAGAATATGTACGACTGTACCACCAGCAAAATCAAGTGTACCTAAATGTTTCAACCATCCGTTAGTACTCCAAACCCAACGAGCCATTGGATCATAACAAATAGTTGACCAAATAAAAATAAATAACATATAAGGAATAAGTTTCATTCGACCGACAATTGCACCTGAAATTAATGCAGGTGTGATTATTGCAAATGTTGCTTGATATGCAGCAAAAGTTAATAACGGATAAGTAGGACTATAAAGTGCATTCTCTGATTCACCAAAATGTAATGCAAGCCATTCAAATGATCCATAACCGATTTTAGTTGAAGGACCAAATGCAAAAGAAAATCCAAATAATACCCATTGCACAAATACAATACCCATACAAATAAATGAAAGAAAGAGTTGATTTAAAATATTTTTTCTATCAACAAGACCACCATAGAAGAAAGCTAAAGCTGGTGTCATGAGAAGAACTAATGCAGTTGATGTCATCATCCAAGCATTATCGCCTGTATCATGATTGAATAATTTCGTAGTATTCATTTTTTTTACCTATTCTCTTGCAAAGTAAAACAAATAACTGACTTCAATTGAAATATTAAATGAATGATAAAAAAAAAGAAAAGTGAAATATATTCTACTTTCTTTCTTTGTTCATAGTTCAGGTAAATTCATCGATATAATCATTTACTCACTGCGTGTGTATATTATGATATGACCTTTATCAGAGTCATTTTGTTTGCAAAATGATAAAAAAAAACGTTTCGTTATTATCATTGTTCTTTTTCTTTTACACATTGAATGAACAAATTTATTAATTGAATTATTTGATATACAAGAGAGAAGAGAAAAAAAGATACAGACAGAAGAAAGTAATATTTTGAGTTTATTTATTTGTTATTATGGATTGCTTATTGTCGGAGAATTCATTTGTTCATCAGATGTTTTCTGTGGTTTGGATAGATTAACTTTAAATGGTTTGCGTTTTGCATCAGAAGGAGTATAATGTAATTCGAAAGTACCACTTTCTCGCATTTCATTAGGATTATGTTGATTATCTAAAATTTTTTTTACCAGATCACTGACAGCACGTGATGCGACGACTTCCCAACCTTCTCCATGAGCTAAAAATATTAAAAAAACATTTTAGTTTATTTTTATCTGATGATGACAAGATTTGATCATACCTGTTAAATCAAGTCCTTCAAGTTCATCTTCTTTAGCTAAACGA